CTGACCATCTGTCTGGGTTGCCTGGGTCTGGGGTGTCCCATGACGGGGACTCATAATGCTAAAACCCAGAGAATCCCTGGTATACCAGCATGGTTGCTCACCTAAGCAGTGCCCTCAGGCCCTGAGTGGCCTCGACCCCAGGATGAAGCTCTTGCTGCCCAAGGGTGTTTGCCCGTGGCTGCCCCAGTGGGTGCCCCAGCCCAGCAGCCTGCTCAGCCCTCGCCCTGCCCCACTATGCCTGCTCGGTTTCAGAAGCCCGCGTGAACTGTTCCGTGCACCCCCTGCTGCTGGAGGGCTCGCCCTCCTGCCCCAACCTCTATGCCAACTGGCTGGTCATCCTCCTGCTGGTCACCTTCCTGCTAGTCACCAACGTACTGCTCATGAACCTGCTCATCGCCATGTTCAGGTGCCCTGCCCCGCCCCCTTTGCTCTGTCCACGTGTGGGTGGCCCTGGTGACCCCAGTTCCCAGCCGCCTTAGTCCCAGCTGGCCCAGCCGGCTTTGGCCCAGACCTGCTTGGCTCTCTAGACCTGGGGCCACAGATGCCTCTCTGCCCTGAGAAGGGGCTGGGGCCTGTGCTAGGAGAGGCCTGGATGCGGAGTGTCACCCCACACACTGGCTCCCCTGCCAGCTGGGCCTGGAGTGCAGGCAGGAGGGCAGCGCCCCCAGGAGGTGGTACAGCGCATGGCAGGTGCAGAGTAGGGCACTGCTTTCCCAAGCCCCCTGCTCCATGGGCCCCCTCCCACACCCAGGGAGCAGGCCTGAGTCTGTGAAGGCCGGGGGTTCAGTGGTGTGTCTGGAAGCCTGAGCTTTGCTCAGGAAAGCAGAGGGGCCAGTGGAAGACCCCAGAGGAGCGAACCCCACTCTAGACCCACCCCACAGAGAGAAATCAGTGATTTTAGGCAATCACAGTAGAAGGGACCGGGCCTCTGTTTCTGAAAAGGCTCCCCAGGGCTCTGGAAATGGCTCTGGGCTGCATGTGGGCTGCGGGAGGAGATGCAAGCCAGAGAGAGTGCAGGGCCATGTGTGCCCACGGCCACCCACACCTGTCCCCACAGCTACACGTTCCAGGTCGTGCAGGGCAATGCTGACATGTTTTGGAAGTTCCAGCGCTACCATCTCATCGTAGAGTACCACGAGCGCCCCGCCCTGGCCCCGCCCTTCATTCTCCTCAGCCACCTGAGCCTGGTGCTCAAGAGGGTCTTCCAGAAGGAGGCCAAGCAAAAGCGGGCACGCCTGGGTGAGGCCACAGGCCTGGACATGGCAGCCCGGCTGCCCTGGACCATGCGTGCGGAGGGGCGAGGAGCAGGGGCTGGGCCTGGGGGAGGGGCAATGCGTCCGGGTGGGCAGGCAGGAGAGGCCTGGGCCCCTCCTCAGCCTCTGGGGCCCCTCAGCCCAAGTCTGTCCAGGTCCCAGAGCAGCTGGCGCTGGCTAAGCCTAGAGGTCTCGGAAGCAGGGCCCAGCTCTGCCCCTCCACCTTGTGCTCTGCCCACATGTGCAGTGAGTGGCACGGCTGTGGGACAGGGCTCTCTCTGGGCTTGCCCTGGGTTCCCCTACCCCAGCTGAGACCCACCTGGCCCTAGCCAAGCCTGAGGCTGCCCCGGCCTTTTCAGAGAGAGACCTGCCGGAAGCCCTGGACCAAAAGATGGTCACCTGGGAGGCTGTTCAGAAGGAGAACTTCCTCAGCAAGCTGGAGAAGCGGAGGAAGGACAGTGAGCAGGAGGTGCTGCGGAAAACCGCCCACAGGTGCGTGGGGGCTGGATAGGGGCCTCTGCCCCACCCCTGGGCTGGCGTGGGGTGCTAAGCCCACAGGGTTGCCCAGAACATAGAAACAGCCTCTCCCTGGAGGCAGACGGCTGAGTCTCCTGCAGGGTGCTAAGCGTGGCCAGCAGAGCGAGTGAGGCGCCTGCCTGGGAAGGCCCGACCCCAGCTAGGGGGTTGGGAGATCCTAAGATCTCCTCCGGGACCGCTACCATTATCACTATTGGGTGCCAGGCTCCCTTAAAGCTGGGGTGTGGCCCTCTCATGCCAGTCACAGGATCTGAGCTGGGGAAACAGGCTGAAGGGAGCAGAGATGTGGCCAGGGCTCAGGGGTCCAACACTTGGCCTCCTGACCCTGGACACGCCTCTGCTGAGGCCTTGCCTGCACTGCATTTAGGGGACAGGGGCCAATATGCGTGGCGTCCTCCCTGCTCTCGGGTCTCCCCAGAATGGTCCTTCCTGTCTTTCCTTCAGGCCCATGGTTCCTGCCTGCGGGGGGCATGGTCCCGCCCTCTGCCCTCCTGTTGCTGGAGGGAACCCAGCCCCCGCTGCACACAGGGGGAGGGTGCAGAAGCCCTCTGTACCTAAGTCCTGGGGTGAGCGGGCCAGAGCACCCCGGACTCAAGCACCCAAAGAGAACTCAGTGACCCTAAACCCACCCAAAGGGCCTGGGTGACAGGGGAGTGGGGAGGATGGGGAGGGTCCCCAAATTGGGAAGCACCCTGTGGCCATCAGCGACTGCTGCCACCTGCTTCTGCCACAGGGTGGACTTCATAGCCAAGTATCTCGGCGGGCTGAGAGAGCAAGAGAAGCGGATCAAGCGTCTGGAATCGCAGGTAGGCAGGCAAACTCGGTGTGCCCTCCTGATGGAGCAGGCAGCTGGACGGCAGGCCCCGCCCACAGCCCCGCATCCCAACATCCAAACTCACGGGCTGCACCCAGGCTCCGGCTCAGCAGTCGGGGCAGGGCAGGGGAGCGTTGGGGGTTCAGGACTTGTACCTGCCCCACCCCCAACTCACTAGAGAGACCCTGTGGCCTCCCCAAAGGGGCTCTAGAGACTGGGCAACCTCCCTGTAGGGGATTCTGCATATAAGACCCCTCACCATCCACTCTCCACACACCACACTGGGACCTCACCCTCCTGCCCACTTCCTTTGAGTTGCAGCCACCAGAAGGAAGGGCACAGGGCAGCAGGGCCCTGGCAGGACAGGAGAGGCAGATGGGGAGGGGCCTCTGTGTCCTGCCATCCTGAGAGCTCTGGGGCTCGGCCCTGGGGCCTCCCTCACCCTCTTCCAGATCAACTACTGCACAGTGCTCCTCTCCTCCATGGCTGACACCCTGGCCCAGGGCAACGCCTCCCGGAGTAAGTGCATATCTAGGGAGGGTGGGCAACCCTCCAGCTGGCTGGTCCAGAGGCAGGAGGAAGGCCATGGGCCTGCACTGTGCCCACTGCCTTCCCCTGGGCCTCTGCTTCCCACTTGCCGGGGAGGGGACTAACCCAAGTCTCTGATGGCCCCTGGCTGGCCACAGTGTTCAGGGTGGGGAGGTGTCCTCTGACAAAGCCCCCTGACTCAGCCAGGGTGTGAGGGCATGGCCACTCTAACTCCAGAAGCTCTGCCTGGTGCCAGCCCTACTGGGCTGCTTTCCCAGCCCTCCCCATCCAGGGCCACCTCAGGCTTGCCCCTGAGCAGGCCACCTCTCCCTTCCCTGGGCCTGCCTGAATGGGCATCCAGCAGCTGAGGAGGGGCCTTCCTTCCCCACCAGACTCTCAGACCTTCGGCAGTGGGAACTGGCAGGCCTCTGCTGACCATGGAGGGGGCCCGGGCAGCAGGGAGCACCTAGAGGTTGGCCAGCCACCGTCAGACACCTAAGCTACTTGGACTGTCAACGAAAGGGGCCCATCCTTCCCAGAGCTCTGGCCCCACGGTGGGCGGGGGGTGCATGGCTCTTAGCTGGTCATCTTCAGCCCTGTGGACACACCAAGCTTCCTCCAGTTCCAGTGGAATCCCCCAGTTGGATGTGGCTCTCTAAACGAATCATTCTTTGCCCTACCTGGCACCTTCCTTGGCCCAAGAGCGCAGCAGGGTATCAGGGGCCCTCTCCTGGACAGAAGCACTTGGATTCCCATCTAGAACCAACCAGCCTGGGCCAGCACAGCAAGCCCTCACTGAGCACCCTGTTGGAGCCACCTCCCGTTGGGCGGGCAAGCACCTGCACCCACCCCACCCAATCTGTGCTGCCTGCTAAGAGTGATGCTTTTGAAACTCTAGTGGTTACAATTTCTGTCCTTTAAGACCCGGGGCTGATGTCCGCTGTGTGTTCGCTCTCACCCTGGAACGCCCCCAACAGCTTGCACAGTGAGTGCTAGACTGTGTCCAGCCTGGGCAGTGGCCCTGGACACCGCCCCAGAAGACCTGCCTCCCCCCGACAGGCTGCTTTATCTTAAATGGAGCACAGAGAGCACACCTGCACCTTGGGCTGCAGCCCCAGGCCATCAAAGTGGACACTAGGGATGGATGGGAGGCATTCAGGGCACCAAGTCAATAAAGCACATGGGACAGGGACAGAGGGCTTAACTGCCCACGGGATTGGGGTGCAGGCGCCTGTGTACCCCCCAGCTAGGCAAACTGGCCAGCCAAGTGGATCCCCCTTTCCCTTGGGGGCCTGGAGGCCTGGCACAGGGACAGCAGGGACAAGACCAGGCCCGGAAGCTCAGCAGCACGACAGGCTGGCTGACCCCCACGCCCTGCCCGCTCCGATCACCCTCCCTGACACCCTCAGGGAGCTGTCCTTTTGCGGCACACGGAAGCTCAGCAGCACTGGCCATGCGGCCCCAGGACACTAGTCACCTTCTCACGGCCTGGGCAGGGCCGAGCTGAGGGGCAAGCTTGGCCAGGGCTGGGGAGGACACCCGCCCAGGTGGCCATGCCCCCGATGCCACTCACACTCGCTCCTCAGACCCATTTCATCAACCCCCTCACCCCGGCACTGTGGTCTGCAGACCCCTCAGGAGCACAGGGGCCCAGGGTCGCCACCTCTTGCCCCTGACTGAGGAGGGGTCACCCAAGTCCCTCCAAGATCTGCTGCTGCTGAAGGCAGGTATCGCTTTAAAACCCCTCTGGCCCACGACACTGTCGGGGAGGCTCAAATGTGCGAACGAGGAGATGGGGTGGGCTGGAGAGTGGAGAAGACGCAGCCACGCCAGTCCTGGGGGTTGGGGGGTCTACACAGACACATGGAGCTGAGAAATACCCAAAACCTTTACTATTCCCCCATCGGCACCCGGTGGCCAGGGCTTCCGCCGTCCTCTGGCCCACACCCTCAGCAAGGTCTCTGCCTCAGAAGACACTTTGGCACTGAGACCCAGCCAGGGCCGCTGGCGCCACCTGCCGGCAGCCCGCCAGCTCCCTTCCCAAGGCAGTGGGGCTGGAGCCTGCTCTGCCCCTAAAGCCACCCTAGGTGGGCAGTGGCCCGGACAGCCCTCTGACGCCAGCCCGCAGGCAGCCTGTTTGGGACGTCTGGCCCGACAGTCTGTCCTCTCAGAACTCAGCACCAGGGGCCTCGGGGCTGCTGCTCTTGTTCCGGAAGTGGTCTCTGCTCCGCTTCCTGCTGCCATGGAAGCCAACAGTCTCCACCACTGGGGGGCCTGCCACTGACCCGGTGGGGGCAGGCCCCTCTGGCGTGTCCCCCTCCTGTGAACCCCCGCAGGGGCTGCTCCACTCCTCAGCCTCTGGGCTCCCAGGCCCAGCCAGGTGGGCCAGCTCCACAGGCCCCTCACCCCCGGCCACTGCCGGGTTCCCAGGGTCGCCCCTGCCCGGCTCTCCCAGCTTCCTCAGGACCCTCTTCCTCTCAGGTCTGGCCTCGCTGGCTCGTGCCGGTTTGGTGAAGATGACCCTACCCTCCCCACAGCTGGAGGGATCCTGGTTGAAAGAGGGCACATAGTCACTGGGGGCAGCCAGGCTCTGGGAGCCCAGGAAGGTCAGGGCGGCAGCCCGGTTGCTTTGCTCACTGGCCTCAGCCACGTCTTCCAGGCTGTACTTGGTCCAGCGCTCGGGGTGGGCCACGTAATCAGGGACGGGGGGCACCCTCACGAGGACAGGGCTCTGACTGGCACTGCCCGGGCCCTCTGCTGGAGGCTGGCTTGAGGGCGCCAGGGGCCGTTTGAAGACCCCACTGTCACCCATGCCTTTCTGGGCCACAGAGGGGGGAGCGTGCCTGGCTGCCCCCTCCAGGCAGTCGAAGATGTTGTGGCTGCGCTGGGAGAAGGTAGAGCTCGTGCCTCTCAGGTGGAACGGCTGCACAGCGACTGTGGGGTGGCCCTTGGGGGGCGTGAGGGGCTCATCGGGGCCTGAATCCCCCTGGGCCTCCCCAGGAAGCCCCTCTGGGGACAGAGCTTCCACTTCAGCACCGCCCGGCAGGCTGAGGTCGGAGTCCGAGTCGCTAAGGGAGATGGTGTCAGAAGGCAGGGTGTCATAGTCGCCTGTCTCTGCCTCAGCCATGTCTCCAGGCCACGCCACACCTAGACCAAAACAGCCCCGAAAGTTGTTCTGAGAATAGCATGCATTTAGAACAAATCCCTCCCCGCAGACCCACTGCCCCGGGCAGACAGCAAGGTCAGCAGAAAGAAAGGACTGTGTCTGACAAAGGAAGGGACCCCCCCCACACACCCCGAGAGCCCTCCTCACCTCCTTGTCTGCGGGGTCCCTGCGCTGACACTGGAGTGCTGGTGGGAGCAGCGCTGGCAAAGGTGTGGTGTCCTCAGTCCCAGAAGTGCCCCCGGCACAGCTCTGTTCAGCTGCTCAACTGTAGCTGGCTGAGGGTAGGGAGGGAGAGCCAAGCATCACACCGACAGTGAGCATGCAGACGTGGTGCCAGGACTCCAGGGCCGGGACCTGGCTTTACGGAGCCCCCAGCACAGGCCAGGCCCAGGAGCAGGCCCTTGGTCGTGTCACCTCATTCAATCCTCTCCAGCTAAGTCTAACTCGAGGACTAGGGGCCTGCTGGAGCGGCGGGCATTCTGGTGGTAGGTGGCCAGCAGGGCTTGGACCCAGGGCTGACAGCAGCCACTGGTCAGCACTACCACTCCCGACCAAGGAGGGGTGTCCATAAACCGCTCAGCAGGGCGCACGGCACCCAGTAGGTACTCCAGCAAGACTGGGGCACCGGCCAGGTCTGCGGGGAGGAGGTCTGCAGCCAAGTCCTGGGCGTCTGCGGGTCAAGCTCGCAGGGAACTGGTGTCAGCGATCACCTGGAGCAGCCTAGCAGGGCAGACGCAAGCCCCGCAACACTTCTCCCGTAACTCTCCACGTACCGCACCTTCCGCAGACCAGCAGAGAACTGCTGTCGACACCGCTCAGTAGTCAGTGTGACAGGCACCCCGCAGCTTGTTTCCATGATCAGAGGCATCCCAGTCTCACCAGAGAAGCCTCCCTCGCCCAGGGGGACCGAGTGCACCTGCTCCCACCGACGACCCGGCCAGGCGGAGCAGGAGCGGCTCCAAGGGCCCTGGACCGGGTCAGACACGAGCGAGACCTCCATTCCTCGGGGGCCTGACTCCCAAAGAAAGGAACGACTGCAGGCGGGAACGGGGATACGAGCACACCCCACCGGGGGGTTCCCGAGCAGGCAGGGCAGGGGGGAGATAACCTGCCCGTCACACGGCAAGTCGCAGGCAAAGCTGGAGTTCCAAGCAGACCCCTGCTCCCCAGATCCGCACTCCCGTGCCCTGCGGCGCAGGGTCGCCGACGCGACTACAAGGGGCTGACCAGCGAGGCGCTCGGGGCAGACGGGAGCTCTTTGGGAACGTCGGGGGCTCAGAGGAGGCGGAGCTGAGTGCGGGCTGAGGGGCTGGGGGTCCCTGGGAGGATCGGGTCCCCGGGAGGCGGACCACTGGCCTCCTTGCAGGTTGTCTCCCCCTCGGAGGCAGAGCCGTGACCTGAGTTTTGGGGACCCACTCGGGCTGGGTGGGGAAATGTCTGGGCCTTACAAAGCTCGGGGTCCCCAGGGCCAGGCCGCGAGGCACGGGGGACACGGAGCACGTCGGGGTCTCCGGGCTCGGGGCAGGAGGTTGCGGACGGCGACCTCCCGGAGAAGGTACTCACCGCAAACCTACCGGCTCACGGCGGACCGGGAGTCTCCATCTTGCACCGCCTCCATCTTGCGCCGCGCTCGGCCCTCTGGGAAACCGAGTCCTCCGCCGGCCAAGCGCCGCGGCTTCCACGCCTGAAGAACTCCATTTCCCACAAGGCACTGGGCCGCTACTCCAGAAGCCTGTTAGGCGTGTAGTCCTTGCGCGTGCGCCCCTGCTTTTCTCCCGAACCTCCCCTCCCCGGAAACGGCGGAACTCCTTCGCGAAGAGCCCGGAATTGATTAAGGAGAAGCGGGAAAAGGCGGTGGGACTGCGACTCCCAGAATGCTCGAGGGCTAACAGCTATCGTCGAGTCTCTGGGGCCTCAGCGCCACCTACCGGAAGCCACGGGGACAGCTTTTCCTCGAACCGGAAGTGCGCCATTACGCGCAGCGTTGTCCCCGTGCATTTCCGGTCCTGGCCGGAAGCGGCGGACCGCGCCCCTCGTGGGTCCTGGGAGCAGGTCGGGTACCCGGCTGAGCGCCAGCTTCCGAGTCGGCGAGAAACGGGAGTGGCCCGCCTGCCTGTGGCTCAGCTGGTCCCTTCCGTCCGGGAGCGAGGACAGGCCCCGGCTCCCTGGACAGGCGCGTGTTCCCCGGCCCCGGCGGCCGGCACCCAGCCGTTCCGTGTTCCAGAGTACAGGCGCCTCGGCCCCTGCCTGCTGGACGGCCAGACCTCGGCCTCTCCCAGGGCTGTGTCCCCGGCAGTCCAGGCACCCGGAGAAGAAACGGGGCCCGTCCCTGTGCAGCCTCGGGACTCCCCATTCCTAAGACAGCCCCCCCCACAACGGCCTCGCCAGTCTCCCCCAAGCACTAGTTCCGTAGTGTCGCGTCGCAGCTTGCAGGTGACACCCAGGCCCTATTCCGGACCCCGGGTAAAAAGGGGACTCCTGGGACCATCCTGTATTCCCGGCCGACCCACCCCAGCATGCTCGGCGGAGGGGTGTGGCAGGAGGGGCAGGCTTGCTGAGACCCCTGGATCCCCCAACGCAGGGCTAGGGTTCCTTTCCAGAATCAGCCCCCAAGGAAGCTGCCAGGAGCCCTCACAGATAAACCCCAGCCATGCTTTTGTGGCCTTGAGGGGTCAGTTTAACATACATGCACGTCCGTGCCTGCCAGTAGCTCACGGTGATGTCGCCCAGCATTCCAGACAGGGCAGCAGCTGGATCCAAGAGGCGGCTAGGCCTCTGTCCACTGTGGTGGGCCAGGCGGGCTCCCCAAAGCCCTGCAAGATGGGGCTTAGGCCCCGAGCCATCCAGACTGAACATTTATAGGCACCTAGATGGGGAGGGACAGGGCAGGGCGTCCAGCCTCCACAGAGCTGTCCCTCAGGAGAGTCTCACAGGGCCCCCACCTCAAGCACCTCCTGCACCACATTCTCTGGTCACCCAGTCCCTTCCACCCAACTCTGGGCAGTGGTGCACAGAGTAGGAACAGGAGACAGGTGGGGTGGAAGCTGCTGCAGGTGGCACAAGGCCCAACAAAGGGGCACTCGCCATGTAGAGCATTCCCTGGAGGTCTGTCACCACCCACCAACAAGGTTGGCAGCACACCCTGGCAGAACTCAGCCCCACCCTTGCCAGGCTCCTCTTCCCCTCCAGCCGCCCCCTGGGTCTTGGACGCTGCAGGCACAAGAAGGGGCCAGACAGTTTGTTAGCATGCCTGGTTTTTCCTTCTTTATTGAATGACTTTCAAGACGTAATTACAGTTGAAAGTGACGCGTTAGAAAGGAGAGGTGCATTAAAGGCATAAGGCCGCTCATAGACCCGGCTCTAGAGACAGGAGAGAAACAAGGATTAAAACCGGCGTGAGCCGTGCAGCCCATGGGGATGGGTGGGTGGGAGGACGCAGCTCGGCCAGAAGGCCTCTGAGGTCCCCTGGAGAGCCTGGCTGAGCAGGCAAGACCTCCTAGGCGGCCCCAGAAGCAGAGGGGGCCCCTGGCCTGCAGTCCCCAGGGCCCACTCACATGCCACCTACAGGTGACGTCAGCCCCAGAAGGTAACAGGGAACTTCAAGACAAAAACAAAACCTCAAAAGTAAAAAGACTAATAAATGCAGCAAAGTAATAATACCAGAAAAGTTATATACACAGGTGGTGAGAGGCCCTCCACAGAAGTGTCCGGGTTGCTCTGGGGGTGCCGCAGGGGTCCCACCGGCCCTCCCTGCGGCCCAGGCGGCCAGAGCCTCAGTACACGGAGCTGTTCCGGATGCCACAGCAGAGCACCATGCTCAGGATCATCTCAAAGATCTGCAGGGAGGGGCAGGCCGGCCGCTCAGCACCCACAGACCTGTGGCGGGCCCTGAGCAGACACCCCGCCCACCCACTTACCATGATCACCGCCACCACGATGGCGGCGATGCCGATGAGATACAGCTTCCCCGAGAAGAGCTCGTCGATCCTCTGGTGGCAGTCTTCCTGTAGGGGATGGCCACAGGCGGTCAGGGGTGTCAGTCCGCAGGTCCCCCACAAGGCAGCAGACAAGTCATTGCAAAAAGAGCACGGAAGGGCGTGGCCCTGGCTCCCTCAGAAGAGGCGTGAACGACACCCAGTCTCTCCGTTTTAAAACAAACGTGGAACCAAGGGATGGGCTGTGTGTACCCTGTTCTGCTCAGCGGTCACCAGGCACAGACGGGCGTTGACCCAGCGGTCAGGGCGCCCTCCATGCCCGCTTGGGTATAGGTACAGCTGCCAGAGGAGGAGAGCCGACCAACTGGGAACCCAGGGCACCCTCACCTCCCCTGTGGGCTGTCAGTGCAAACTCAGCCATGGCCCAGCCCCCCAGGCAGAGCAGCTCTGACTCTGGCCACAGTGCCACTGTGTGGCCGTGGCCTACCCACCACCCAGGACCCACGGAGAGAGGAGGGTGGCAGTGAGGTGGGGGAGTGGGCAGGCCCCAGCCCCGCTGGGCCCCAGGGAGGCCCCGCCCACCGCCACGCACCTTGAATAAGTTGGTGAGGACGCTGCTGCCCGAGGGACACAGGTTGATCTTTAAGACGGAGGTGGTCAGTGCGGTCAGCGTGCTGGAGCCACAGCAGTTGAGCTGCAGAGACCCAGGGTGCCCGCAGTCAGCCCCAGGCGCACGTGGGGAGATGACCCGAGCGAGAGGAGATGGGCAAGGATAGCCATCCTGCAGGCCGCAGAGGTGCCAGCAGCTACCCTGGCCTGACGTGGGGCTAGGGGTCTGGGATGGTCCCCTCCGGGGGGGAGAACTGAGCCCAGGCGCCCCCCTCTCCCACTTCCTCTCACTGAGCTGTGCTGCTCAGAGACCCCTGCACTCCAGCCAGCCTGGCCTATCTCGTTCCCACCAGGGACCCACAGGTCCCAGAGAAGCCCCCCGGGGCTTGCACACGGGGCCCCACGGCCTCCCAAGAGCCCCTCCTACTCCTGAGGTCTGGGCTGAGGCCTCACTGGGGCCTCAAAAACCCCTGGCCTCTCCCCTGGTCCCCCAGGACCCCTTCCCCGGCCTCCCCCCAGTTCCCCCGCACCGTCTCATGGAAGGTCTTCACCACGGCCTTGGCGTTGTTGGCGTCGTCGTCCACCACGGCCTGCTGCAATGCCTGGTCGTAGAACTGCTTCACGTCCTTGGCGATCTGGGGTGGGGGGTGGGGGTCACACCACAGCAGGGACCATCCCCAGGGACACGCGTTCACCTGGCTCTCCTGCAAGCTATCACTTTCAGGACAGCTCGGCCGCAACCCCAAGGCTGGGAGTCTGGCGGCCCTGCCTCCATGCCGCCTCCTCCAGAAAGCCCTCTGTGGTCTTCTTCCCAGGCCGGCCCCAAAGAGTACCCTGCAATCCGACCTGTCCCTGACAGCCTAAGCAGCGGGTGCTCCTCCCACCCCTCCAGGCTGGGACTGGCTCTCCCCTGTGGACTCAGGCTCACCTGGTCCTTGTTGACAAAGCCCCAGATACCAGCAGCCACTTCGCAGGCAAACAGGATCACCAGGCAGGTGAAGAACTGGGTCGGGGCAGAGAGGGGGGATCAGAGCAGGCCACACACGGCCAGGGCTTCCCGAGGCCCTGACCAGTGTGGCAGCTCAGGGCTCGCCTTCCACAGATGACAGATGCCCGAGTAACAGGTGTGCTTGGCAGTACCCACCCACCCATGTCCCGACCAGGGATGAGCTGCATGGAGCCTGACTTGGCCCCAGCAGTGGGAGGCCAATGTTCTCATTGTCCCCGCAGGACCAGGATCCACAGGACAGGGCAGCTGATGCAGAAGGATGAGGTTCGGGGCTCAGTGGGTTGGAAAGTGCAGAGTGGCACATGCCCCGAGGAAGCTTGAGCCCTAGTGCCGCTTTCCTTGCTTCATTTCTCCCTCTCCTCTCCCCACGGGAAGGGGCTCATTGTGGTGGGCTTCCGTTTCCCCCAATGGAGACACTGGCACAGGCTCCTACAGCCCACGCCTCCTGGACCGGCTAGACCCTGGACGCCAGAGCCAGGCCTAAGCTTCCCATCAGGGGGTGACGTGCCCCGGGACACCTGAGATTGGCCGTGGGACTGGGACACACTCCTATTATATCTGTGGCTTTTTCTTTAAAGAAAGAAAAGAAAAAAGCAACTTTGGAACTTAGACTTAGGAACTAGACATAAGGGCAATCAACCGCAGTGCAACTTAAGACCCAAACAGGGAAACAGGGAGCTGGCCCTCTGGGGAAGGTCCTCAGGCTGCCCGGGACCCCTCCTCCAGGGCCAGGCTGGCGAGGGGAAGCGCCGAGCTCCACATGGGAGGCCTGTGTAGGCTGACCACACGTTGCCTCCCTGGAGCTCCTGGTGCTGCCTGTCGGCATCAGTCCGAAGCGCCCCCTGCTCACTGAGCTGGACGCAGTTCCCCACCCAGCCCAGGACCTTACCGTCCCCAGCAGGCACTGGGACTCCTGGATGGCCCCATAGCAGCCCAGGAATCCGACGAACATCATCACGGCCCCCACAGCAATGAGGATGTAGATGCCTGTGGGAAGAAAGATGGACATCCTCAGTGCTCGACATCCCAGAGAGACTGAGACATCCTCCCCGGCCTTGTGCACACATACCACTGCCCAGGACTCTGGAGGGTCCAACGGTTACTGACGCCCACCCTGAGGCTGCCCTACCAAGAAGAGGTCAGGTGCCCAATGCCCTGGGGAGGGTGCCACAGCCCGGCCAGGCTGCACGAGCACCTCTCCATGCCTCGGTTCCTCTTCTACAATGTGGGAGGGAGACTGGTGATGCGGGGGCAGCACGCAATGGCACATGGTAAGTGCTCAGAGAACCTGGAGATCAGAGCTTTACTCGGAATGTCTCTCCCAGGGTGACCCACCCACCACCTGCATTCACTCTGGTTCCCATAAGCCTCCTGGTCTTGTGGGGGCCAAGAAGGATCATCCTCGTCTTGGTGCAGAGCTGTTGGCCTGGGGGTGGGAGGGGGTAGGGCAGCCAGGGATCTGCTGGCAGGGATCCCCTGCCAGCCACATGCAGTGCCCACTTCAGTTGCTCCTCCTCTTAGGCAGCTCCGGGCAGCCCCTCAGGCCGGAGGGGTAGGCTGGAATCTGCCTCTGAGGCCCCCAGCCGCGGGCTGGAACCTGCTGGACGAGGTGCCCTGGCGGCTGGGGTGGTGAGGTGGCTGTGCCCATGGACAGGATAGGGCATGTGGTAGCAGGTAGCAGGGATGGCTCAAGGACAGCACACAGGGGGCAGTTTGCCCTCCTGACCTGCCCAACACCCACTGGGCTGAAAACAGGTTCCTGGGGAGGCGGGAAAGGCCACCAGAGGCTGGGGGCACTGGGGACCGAGAGGCCTCTGGCCTGGCCAGGCTGCCCTTCTCAGTGTCCACGCCCACCCAGACAGGGCCCTGTGTCCTGTGGGAAACACTGACCGCGTCTCTCCGGGGACGTCCCACGTCCCTAGTTCTCCCCGCAGATACTGTGGGCTGCCCAAGCCCCCTCCAGAGCCAGGACAATGGCTTCCAAGGCTCAGGTGCCCGGCTAGCCCTGGGAGAAGGAGCCTGGGGGCCAGGCCGGGCTCAGAAAAGGCCCAGGGCCTCCTCCTGGCCAGACGCAGCCTCCGGGCAGCACTGAGCGGACCTGCCAAGGGGAAGCCTCCTGCCACGGCCGCCCTCAGGAGGCTCCCTCAAACTAGGTCTGTCTCCCTCTCCTCAGGCCCTGATACCCCCATCTGTGAGGTGAGGTGGGACCCCCGGGCCTGCATCCCCATGAGGTTCAGCGCGATGGCACAGAGTGCTGGGAGGGGCGTCTTGGCCATCTGGGCTATGGAGGGTCCTGCAAGGGGCTGGGAGACCCAGGAGCAGATGCCTGAGCCACAGCCCCTCCCAGGCCCAGCCCAGACCTCCCCCCAGTGTGGGGCTCCCATCCACACCCCTGTGCCTGGCTCTGACAAGTGAGGTCAGGGACGCACCCGGGCCCTGCAGCGTTGCCCAGGGTGCTGAGCGAGTCATTTAACCCACCCCCACTTCCTGGCACCAGACAAAGGGCCTTTGTCAAGGCCGCCATCTCCTTGCCCGCCTCCCTGGCAGGCCCAGCTCGCATCAGGGCCAGCAAGAGGCTCCAGAAGGCCAGTCCTGGATCGGCAGGGACTCAGTGGCCAGAGGGGCTCCCCAGGGACAGCTGGCCCCTTGAAACCACTGCCAGAGCCACAGGCTGCCGTCTCTGGGGAGGAGAGGGGCTGCCCCATCGAGGCTCCCTGGAACCCAGACCTCTCCACCCCATGGCCCAGAGGGACCCATGGGCCGGGAAGGGACGGGCACCCCCCTCATGGCCCTGGGCGGGATGGGGAGGATGCAGAGCCATCCCCACTTCAGCAGCTAAGCATGTATCCCAAGTGTGTGGGGTCCCGAGTGGGAGTGGCTGCTGGCCCCAGCTGTAAGCCCTGAACCCTGAAGGCGCACAAGCTTCCCGCCCTGCTGCTCAACCTGTGGGGCAAGAGGGGCCGCCCAGGAGCCGTCCCTTTAAAGGAGAGAAACATCTCAACAAACACGGCCAGAGCTCCACAAGGGCCTGCCCGCCTGCCACCCCTTGGCTGGGGACCAACTGGAAGGAGAGGTCCTCCTCAGTTCCCCCGCCCGGTCCCCCGAGCCGGACAGACGCCCCCGGGGGGCCACAGCTGGTGCCTGGGAGGCAAACATGCAGCCTAATAAGGCAGCAAGGTATGGCTGCAGGGGTGGCCTGAGTCACCGCTGCTGGCCCGTGTCATCCATCCGTGTCCTCCCTGCCACTCTGGGCCTGAGTCTCCATCCTCTGTGGCTCCAGGCTCAGCTGCCTCAGCTGCAAGTCCTGCTGCCCAGGCATCCAACCCCACCCCTTCCCAGGGAGCCTGCCCCAAAATACCCACCACATGACACAGCGGCCCTGCCCCCACCCAGCTGCCGCCCTCCTGCCCTGGCTCAGCCCCCAGAGGCCATCTGCTGGGGTCCCAACAAGCCACATGCCCTTCCAAGTTCCAGCTTCCCCAGGAACCTGACTCCTGCCCCAGGCACCCCAACCCGGCCAGGCACCGGACCACCTCCGAAGAGGGACCTAGGCCCCACGCCTCACCCAGGCCCTCCAGGCCCCCAGGCTGACCTCACTTCACCCATTCTCTGGCTCCTTCTCACCCTGTCGCCCAAAAAGACCTTCCTGGCTGGCCTCCTCCCCACCCCAGCATGCAGCAAGCCCCGTGGGGCTGGCTCAGGCCCTGCCTCCTCCCAGAAGCCTTCCCTGATCGCCCGTCTGCAGCCTCACTGAGCTCATGGTCAGACACCTTGCTGGGCCGTCCCTGCTGACCCCCAGCCCACAGCCGGCTGGGGTCCTTGGCCCACCCCACGTGCACTCACCTACATAGAAGGTGTTGGGTGCAGGCTTATCTCCAAGCTCCAGATAGAGGAGGTTGGTGGTCTGTGGGTCATGGCGGAGCCACAGGGCCACGCCCAGGATCACACCTCCGGCGAGCTGGGGAAAGAACGGACACAGCGTTACTTGTGGCCCAGAGCAGTGCAGGGGTGGGTGCGAATCATCCACACTGAACAGCCGGAGAGAGGCGGGTACCGGCCCCTCCCCTCCACGGCTCCGAGGTCCCTCTCCGGGGGGGGTCTCCCCTCTCGGGCGGTGCTCATAGGCGCCGCTGGGCTCTGGGCCGCCTGCTGGCTCCAGATGTCTGCCCAGGTACTCCAGAAATGCCTGGGCATCAGCAACCACCTGGCCAGCTCCAGACCCTCCAACCAGCACTACTGTAGTGAGACCCCATGAGATGTTGCCAGATAAGATGCGAGACACTCGGTTAAATTTGCATTTCAGGTGAACAACGAATACTTCTTTAAGCGTGTCCCAAACGCTGCACAGGACATGCTTATGCCAAAAAACCACATCTTGTTTATCTGACACTCAAGTCTAACTGACGTCCTGTATTTTTCTTTGCTAAATCTGGCCAGATGCCACACTAGACCCGAGCGCCCCAGGAACGCTGGGCCCTCCTCCAAGGGTGGGTGCTGCCCCAACAGTGTGTGGAGGGCACTCCACGTCCTTGCTGCCAGGACAGAGAGAGTGGGAGTGACTGTGAAGGGGAGGCAGCTGGGGCTGGTGGCATCCAGGAAGCCACAGGGGAGAGGGGCCAGGCGGTTTGTGGGATAAACCCCTGCCGTCAGCCCTGAGTAGGGAAGCTGCTTGAGGAAGGAAGCTCGTTGTGCTCTCTGGGTAGGCCAGGAGAGGAAAAGCTAGGGCCTGGCATGAGGGAGGGGGGCTTCCCAGCTGACGGAGACTCGTCCTCCTGCCAGCATATGGCTTGGTGGTGGGGATTGGGGCCAGGGGGGCGTGACGTCTGCCCTCGAGCATGAGCCCAGACTAGGCCTGGTCAGGCCTATGCCTGAGCATCAGATCAACCCTCGCAAGCACCCAGGCTGCCCTCCACACCCCAGCCTCCTCCCCATCTGCCCTCCACGCCCCAGCCTCCTCCTTGGGCTGTCCTTTATGCCCTGCCTCCTCCCCAGGCTCCCCTGGCCCTAAACGCTCCACCAAGGCAGAATCCACTCCCAGAGCCACAAGCGCAGCCGCCAGCCAGCTCCTGGCATCCTCTGCCTCTCCACCATCACATGCTGGCAGCTGAGGCCTTCCCATAGCAGCACCCGGCACCTCCAGTTGCTGACCCCCCCGACAGACACACAGCTACATGTTCAATGGGGAAGAGAAACTGAAAATCGGACCCCGAGAAAACCACCTGGCCTTGCCTCGTGCCTGCCCCTGAGACCCTGGCCAAGGAGCGGGGCCCCGAGACGATGCTCAGAGGAAACATGCTCAATAGTGTGTGTGAGAATTGAGACCCCAGCACCATGGGACACCCCAAGGAAAGCCCCACCAGCCCGGGGGACTCCCCAGGCAGGTGGCACTATGGGGACGGTGAGAGGACAGGAGGAGCCTAGGGCTGCACCCCCTTCCCCGGCCTTCTACACTGGGCTTGGCTGACAGCAGGGCAGCAGCTGGGCTCCCACTCCCAAGGGGATGCTGTCAACACCTCCCCCAGAGCAGGAGGTGAGCACCTCTCTGACCCCCACCAGCCTGGAGCTGTAGTTTCTCAGCCCCTCTTCTCCCAAAGTTTCCACTTGATTTCATAGTCTGATGGGGGTGGGAGGGACCCCACTCTCCCACCGCAGCAGGACCCAGGCTCTGAAGCTCTTCCCCGCGCTCGAGCAAGCACGTAGTGGGACCATCTGGGCCTCCTGTGCACCTGCTGCCTGAGGTCCCAGCATCCTGTCACTGCTCTTTGGTGCCTGTCACACCTGCGAGAATGCCGGAGGGCCTGTGGGACATGTGCAGGGGGAGGTGGAGACCGTGAGGGCAGGGCGGGTGCCCCAGAGTCCTCAGCTCCTCTCTAGCTAGCTGCCATCTGCGGCTGCAGGGGAGGCGAGGCTGAGGGTTCCCCTGGTAACTGGCTTCAAAACATCCCTTATTCTGTTTTGAAACTGTGGTCCAGAAACGGCTTTGTGAGACGTTCCAGGACGCCGTGGGGAGGGGCTGCGGGAGCTCCGTCCCGGGCCGCCTCTGTAGTCGCAGAGACTGGCCGCAAGCCCTGACTCAGGCTCAGTATCCCCGTCACTAGAGGGGAGCCGAGCATGGAGCAGCGCATGGCTCGAATGCTGCTGGGGCCTGCGCCGCCTCAGCTGGGCTGAGACCATCCCTATCTTCCCTCTGCAGTCCCCTCACCTCAGGACTGGGAGGACAAGCCCATCTTGGGCACATGGTCCTAACAGAAATGCGGGCCATGCTTTTCCTACCCCCCCAAACCCTAATGGTGGGCTTGCAGACAGAGTCACCACGTCTCACTGTTTTGGGAAGAGAAGGGATTCTGTTCAGACTCCAGGGCGGGCAGGGTGGGGCAATGCCTCGGACTCCCCTGTGGCCCTCAGCCCACCCTCCCGGGGCGGGGGGGTGGTGGCAGGAGAGAGCCTGGCGCCAACGTGCTCCCTGCTGGCACTACTTCAGTCACTCCCCGCCCTGCGCAGACGCGCTGGGGTGGAGCTGGATGAAGGCGACGACCATCCCCAATTTCCAGGTGAGCAAACTGAGGTCACCTACGAGGTGGGGGAGGGTAAAGGCAGCACCGGGGTCACCCCAGCTGTGGGGAAGAGCAGAGGAGGGGTGGTTTAAAGGGAAGGCAGCCCGCCCCACAGCCGACCAGTGGGGCGCAGGGCTGGAGCCCCTGAGACAGCACAAGCCTTCAGAAGACGAGGCACGGACTGGGACTTGCAAACGGCTAATAACGGACTTGTATCCAAAATTTACAAAGAACTTTCAAAACTCAACAATAAGAAAACAATCCACTTTTTAAAAAATGGGCAAAAAATTTGGACGCTTCACCAAAGAAAAGACACAGATGACGAGTAAGTAAGATGACGAGCAGCGTCATCAGTCACGGGAAATGCACCTAAAACCACAAGAGACGCCACTGCACAACCACCCGAGCGGCTGAAATGAGGACAAGTGGCCGGACCACATGCTGAGGTGGCCGCGGAGGAGCGGGAGGCCCGAGGAGTGGGAGGCCACAGCCCCTCAGGAAAACAGTGTAGCCGCTCCCCGCTCCCCAGAAAGTTCGATCCACACGCCCCGGCCCCGGCCACTCCTCCCCTAGATCTCTCCCGGGGGACGTGAAGGGGCTCGTCCACACAAAGATGCGTCCCCCGCTTGGCCCGGCAGCTTTCCCCGTGAGGACCCCGCACTGGACACGACCCAGATGGCCTCCAACTGGGGCAGGATGGTGCCCACGGACCGCCTGTGGTCCAGCCACACGGTGGAATCCTACGCAGCCGTAAAAAGGAGAGAACTACTCATACAACACCCTGGATGGCCCTCAAAAGGACCACGTGAGTGAAAGAAGCCAGACCAAAAAAAGAAGAAAGAACCCCCTTCTGATTCTATTTACATAAAGGTGTAAGAAATGCAAATTACATAGACAGAAAACAGACAGTGGCTGCTCTGGGCTGGGGGAGGGGCAAAAGGAGCCTCACAAGGCCCGGAGGACACTTTGGGGGATGACGGCTGTGTCCACCATCCTGACAGCCGTGAGCTTCTCAGGTGTCTGCTTCTGTCAGAACTTAACAAGTGGTACATTTTATGAACTTTTTTTTTTTTGAGGAAGATCAGCCCTGAGCTAACTACTGCCAATCCTCCTCTTTTTTGCTGAGGAAGACTGGCCCTGAGCTAACATCCATGCCCATCTTCCTCTATTTTGTACGTGGGATGCCTGCCACAGCATGGCTTTTGGCAAGCGGTGCCATGTCTGCACCAGGGATTCGAACCGACGAACCCCGGGCCGCCTAGAAGCGGAAGGTGCAAACTTGACTACTGCGCCACTGGGCCGGACCCACAAGCTGTACATTTTAAATGTGCGCAGTCTACTCTGTCAAATAAAGCTGTTTAAAAACTCCCCATCCCCCCAGATCCCTGATGACTGAACTTCTAGGCAGCAAGGCCTTTGGGGTAAATGTCTCTTCCGGGTCCCAAAGGATCCAGGCTGCCGTGCTGGTGCCAACTGTGCGCCGAGGTGAGAAGCAGGATCCTGGGCTCGCCAGGCTTCTGGCGGCCAGCAGCAAGCCCCTGGGACATGGCGGTCTCGTCCACAGAGCTGAGGGTTTAGGGTCAGTCCAAGAAGGGACTGGGCAGCTGGGGAACACAATGTCCATGATGAAGCTGAGGCCAGCATGAAGGGGAAGTGTGTCATAATGGCACTGGGCGAGGCCCGGAGCATGGCGATCAAGGGCGGCCCCCAGGCCCCTGGCTGCTGGGTCACTTCAGGCCCATCTCGGGGTCTTTTTTTTTTTTTTTTGAGGAAGATTAGCCCTGAACTAACATCTGCCAATCCTCCTCTTTTTGCTGAGGAAGACTGGCCCTGAGCTAACATCCGTGCCCATCTTCCTCTACTTTACATGTGGGATGCCTGCCACAGCATGGCTTGCCAAGCAGCGCCATGTCCGCACCCGGCATCAGAATCAGCGAACCCTGGGCTGTCGAAACAGAACAGGCGCGCTGAACCGCTGCGCCACGGGGCCGGCCCCCCATCTCGGGGTCTGTGTGCCTCCAATATCCTTTGTAAAAGGAAGAAATAAAAGTACGTCAACTAATAATGTCGAGTGCTTAGCATAACGCAGCTGAATACAGAAAGCCATCGACGACGGGGCGATCAGTATTAACTGGCAGGAGTTTCAAGGCCGGTTTATCGGTGGCAGTCTGCATGCATCTCTCTCCCAACAGATCCCTCCACACAGGGTCACAGACACCTCTCTCCTGCCCGCTGTCCTGTTGGAAGCACCACTGCCACCTGCTCCTGCATCCCCAGATGCTCCTGCTCGGGCTGGGGGTGGGGAGCCAGCTCTCAGGAAGAGCCAGCCAACTTGTGGGGGTTCCTGGAGGTTCCGCGCTAGAGCACAGCACACGGTGTCCATAACCCTAGGAAAGATTCTGTT